ATCCTTTCCTTGGTAGATAGGAAGCCTAACCCTCCCAGCGGGTTTTGCCTTAATTAAAACCAATCAACCAAGATAACAGTTGTTAAAGACCTAGATATTTTACAGCTCTAGCTTCAAATATCTGACAAATAGATAAACATATCAAATACAATAAGAAAGAAAATAAAATTCTCAAAGATTTCAGGTTTTAATATTCACCCAAAAGGGTCTGTTAAGGTCTTCAGCGGTCTCACTTAGCTAGCAATCTAGCGTTCTACTTTTGTGCTCACTCTTGCTAACGATTTTTTTTTTTTTGCTTTTCCTTTTTTGTCTTTTTAGCCTTATTGTTAGGCATCATTTTCTTCGTACTTTTTCCATATATAGTTCAACAGCAAAATTAGAAAAAATTAAAAGTAGCATAGCAGCATATGTTTAAAATTCCCAAAGCGGTGTTAAAATGTTGGCATGCATTTTTCTATTTGCTTTAGTCTTTTCTCAGTTCATCACATCAATGCTAATTTTTCTTAGATGGTTTACAAAAAATTTTTTTGCCTTTATATTATTTACGTTTTGAATGTTGACTTTATCAAATATCACGTTCTTCGCACTTACGCCATATAAAATTCAGTTCAACAGCTTTGATGTTTTAGTGTTATTACATAACATGAAATAATAAAAAAGTATATAAAGTCACTCTGTGAAAATATTAAACATTTTTAATTAGCTAGATTATGAATTAAATGCATCTTTATTATTTAAATAAATCCGATTCGAAAGTAAGAAAGGAATATTCTTAAGAATCTGTTGGTCTTAAATAGCTTAGTTTGGTAATCCACAACAGACAGATTCAGTTTGAAAGACAAATATTTTACATTTTGCCGAATGGCAACAGACTGTAATGAAAACTGAAACGACGCATTTATAGCGATTTAATGCAAAATTGCTTCTCGAGACTAATAGCCCTTTTCAGCGTCAAAAACAATAATAAAACAATAAACTCGAAATGCAAAATGTTGAAAATATTTTTAATACCAAATTACCACTCAAAATTAAATAATAAAAAAAATAAATAAAAACAGGAATTTATTAGGTAATTTTTCAAAAAAAAAGGAGTACTGACATTTATTACTTAATTTTGGTAAATATATAAGTTCCCATATTATTTCCAGAGGCTATTAGAAAAATTCAGACTAATCAAAGACGTTCTTCTACCAAAACGTTTTCTAATCCCTTTCATGTTTACAAAGAAGGTAACATCTTGCAAATATTTTTCTTAGAAAGTAACAGAATTTTCCAGAGTACACCGAACTCGCTATCCCTTTACGAAGAAGTTTCTTACGAAAAGCGGTTTAACTTATTTCGTTCTAGTGTACTGCTGCTTTGGGTAGCCTGCAGAACACATATGGAACCAATGAACTCGACCCTCTAGCCAGTTCTTTGTACCTGAGTAATCCCACCAAATACTTTTGCCATACAGGGTTAATACAGATTATTATACAGTTTCAATAATAAAAGAAGCCCTCATTGAAAGACATGGTAGCAGAACTGATGCGCATGTAAATATTTCTTTCGGCAGCATTCCATACAGTAATGTAGGCCACCACCGAGAGTTACAAGGCTCTGTACGCAAAATGGAAGTGTCTAGAGCAGCAATCGTCAAGATACACCTAGAGCTAGATACACCTTAAACTTCACGGATTACTATATATATAATTTAATATTTGGCGGACCACTAATATAACTAAAAAAAAAAAAAGGTAAATACATTTATACAAAAATAATCAGCGAACTAATCAGCGAAATAATAATCAGCGAAACTTCCTATTTCGTTCACATTGACAAAAGCTTCACATATCACTGAAAAAGAATTTCACGAAAAGCAAGAACAAATCGGCAAACGCAAGCAATATCAATAAACTGATAGTGTTATGGCGCCAATTTTTAATTATTGTAAGTATAATAATCATTGCTTACTCATCAATGGCGCCATCGATCATCAGTTAGACAAAAACAAAAGCGGAAACTTTCAGTGATGCAATTATAAACAAGAATGTCGATAGTTCTCATAAAAATCCATCAAGATGCCTATTGACACGGAGAAAAACTGTGTTATTAACGTTCACAATTGCATACGTTTGTAATTCAAAATGAAAGAGAATTCCAGTTCGCACTATTATTGATAACAGCAGCATATTCATGGATGCCAACTCTCACTTTCAAATGTCGCTAGATACACCTGCAAAAGTAGCTAAAAAGTCGGTAAATTCAGAAGGAATTATGCTAAAAGTAGTAGATAAAATTTAATAAAAAGTATAACCCATATTCTATTATAGGTTTTGTTACTCGTCGTTTTTTAAACTGAAACTTCATTAAAATATAAATAATGTCCCAATTTTTCTGCGGACCATCAAAAGGTTTTAACGGACCACAGGTTGCCGACCGCTGGTCTAGAGTGGAGAAAATTTATTTGTTCTGTAAAGGTCATTAAAATGGAACCATAATTGCAATTCATATGGATTGAGTTTTAGTTACTATCGCAACCGTCCTATTGTGTAGGTGATATGAAACAGGCTGCCATAGTCTTAGAACCATATTTGAATCTCGTAAAAGGTATAGCTGTGTGTGTATAAAATCTTTACTATGTGCAGGCACTTAATATACTCTGAAGGTGAAAGGCATCTCGAAAGGCTGATGGTAAGAGATAATGGTAAAATACCTTTCAATCCTTTCCCTAACTGTACAATCTGAAGTTTAAGTCATGATTTTTCATTGCCGTATTTGACGGCATATAAGACGCACTTTTTTTTTTCTAAATTTGGTCTCAAAAAAGTTATCTGCGTCTTATACGTGAAGGACACAGGTTAACTTTCAATACTGAATACTATTTTTAGCCCGGATAAATGTCTAGACACACATAACGTTTTACATCTGCCATAATTATTTTGCACATGCGTGAAATATCTGTCGCCAAAAAGCTCCAAAGCTCGAAGCTGATGTCGAAGTTCGAACCAGTTCGATGGTCACATTACGTCTATGGAGCCTTTCCTTCTTTACATAGACTTTCTCTGACTCAGCCGACACACGTGTCAGTATCGGTGCTACTCTGTAGAAACGTGTCGGTATCGGTGCTTAAAACTATTTGTTTAAAAAAAAGATGAACGATGAAAGATGTGCGAGAAAGATGGAACAAGTGGATAGGAGAGCCACATCACGCTCTCACACCCTCAGGTAGAACGAAGCGGCCCACTATTTCACATGTGTGCGAGCGGGTAAAAAGATCTTCGGAAGACGTAAAGGCTGAAGTAATTCTTAAGTTCTTTAAGAAGTGCGGAATCAGTAATGCTCTTGACGGAACGGAAGACGACCCATTATTCGAAGAAGGTTATACTAGCGATGACGGAAACAGTAGTGATGACGGTATGCTCGTTTTCGATGATGATGATAGTGAAAAGGATTTTTGTGGTTTTGAAAATGATTAAAGTCTAATTTCATGATAGGCAACGTTTTCCTTGAATATGAGTTTTTTGTTGTTTCTGCTTTATTTTGTATTATGTTTGATTGCTTGCCGTTCATTTATTTATTCATTATTGAAATTTACATATCATGTCCAAAATAGCTTGCCGTTTGTTAATTTTCCTTGATAAAAATATGTTTGGTAATTGCATTCAATGATTATTTATTTGGTTTTTACGAAAGGTGAGAACTATAAGAAACCACATTTTAAGTTATTGTAGTACCGCGCTGTCGCGCAGACTATTGAAACCTTTTTTCCTTGTGTGTGGCCTTCTAAATAAAGGTGCGTCTTATATGCCATCAAATACGGTATTTTTCGTGGGCATTTTTGGAACGTCCCAAGAACAAGTTCAGTTTGAAATACTTCAGATATCTTGAATTTAGCATTTATATTTTTAAATTTCTTGTGCCTATCATAGTCAGATTTCCTACACGTAGATGTCATTTTGAAGCTTGATCAAAATTTTTGTAGCAAATTACGTGTTGCTGGATTTTAAAACATAAAGCCAAAGCGTAGCTTCGTCAAAGACAATCTCGTCGATTGCATGTTACCTAAGCACTTTTTCAATGGCATTAAGATGCTAGCTGATCGAGCGCTAAATACATCTACTGCGATGAATGTAGGATCTTGCACATGACATCACGATCTCTCCACGTCACTCATTCAGCGAAAAACCACTTTTTAAGGGAGTCATTTTTTACGTTTTGTTTTGTTCGTCGTGCTAGTCACTCATTAAGGTAGGTGCTCGTTAACCGACGCTTGACTCTATTACATTTATAGGGATAAAATAATATTCTAATTTTCACTTAAATTTGTTCTACATCTAGGCTCGAAGAGAGCACAACCACCAAAGGCTCAACCACCAGAGAGCGCAACCACCTACATTACAAGCTAGGTAAACACGAATACTGTGATAAAGAATGCTGTTGAAAGAAATGTTAGGGATATTTCTGTAATTAAATTTGCTTGTTACAGTTTTACATTTCAATTTAATTAACTTTTAATAGCTTCTGCCTTAGAAAGAATATTTCATTTAGTATTAAACACTTTTAACAGCAATAAACTACTTTAAAGAGGATAAATTTTAAACTGATTAAATTGAAAATAACATTTCACTTCCTTAGGAACACCTAAAACTCTAGATAATCTCTTAAATGATCTTAAACTTCTTACATTTTTACGTTCAGCTTGAAGGGGGAAAAGTGCATCAATCAAATAAAGTTTTCTGGAAGTGAAGAAAATTTTTTTAAAAATATTTATTTATTTATAATCAGAAATAATATTCCCATTTTCACACACGACCTAAAAGTTGCAAAAATTTCTATTTTTAAAATAACAGAACTTTAAGGCTTTCTTGTGTATACTTTCTGTACGAAAACCTCAGTTAAGCAAATTCAGATTTCTTTGTTTATGACATATGTGTATTAAGACGTAGAGATTTCGTAATAATAACGTTTAAGAAACATAATTCATCAACTAACCATTTTTTCTCTTCTTTTACTTGAAGGTTTTTAGTATTCATAATTCAACCCTTAGAACACTGAGTGACGACACCGTTGCTTTCAAAGGTCTCGAGAAGAATTTACATTTGATCGAGGTAATAAATTGCACATTTGTCAGCGACTGGGATTGGTCACAGTTGCAGAATCTGAAGCATTTGATGGAAATACATGTCAGCCATTCCGAACTTGTTGACCTCACGGATAGCATATCGAAAATTCAACACCTAGACGACATCGAGGGATTTTCCTTCACGCAAAACAAGATCGAAGTTTTAGAGGAGAATGTATTTGCACCCTTCTTTTTCTTACAGCGTTTGACGTTGGACCATAATTACATAAAGCAACTAAAGCGTTCCATGTTGCCCAGTCGTGCTGAGCACCTACAAATTTTAGGCTTAAGGTAAGCATCAGTTTTAACCAGACAGATTTTAAATGAAAGGAATGTATTGTTATCGCGTAAACTATATCCTTAAAACCTTGGTTGCACATTATTTTAGGGAATTTAGCTATATGTTTCAATTAAATTCCGTGTGTTTTTTTAAAATATAAGTTCATTTTGAAAGAAACTGAAAGAGGAAAAGAAGATGAAAGATGAAACGAGAAAATCTCCACTTAATTACAAAATAATATATTTAAATGATATTGTTTATATTATAAATTAAAATACTAAAATAATAAAAATGATTATAATTAAAAAAAAATCTGAAATGTTTCAGATTTTAAATTACGTCCAAAGGGGCGTTTTTTAACATTTGTGTGTTACCTTTCTTATTAAATATCATGTTTTCCTCGCACTTAAACCATAAGATCCAGTGCAACAGCAATATCGCAAAATAGTTTTAAAACGAGCATATCTTTAGAAATTTCCGATACAGAGACTCACGCGCTGGAGATAAAAATGTTTTTTCTGCACAACGTTGCCATTGCTCGCTTTGAAATCCTTGAGTTTTGTTAATCAAAAATTCGTCAAAGTTTTTAAAAAATAGGAAATCGATCATAAAACAAATTTCAAATTTCAAATTTGGTCTTCCACATGCTCATATTCGTTGGAGGATTACGTTATTCAAAATTCGATGACTCTATGTACTGTTGTTTTTTATCACAATACGAGAAATATACATACATTTATGCAGATTTTTCATTATTTAATTTCTTCAAATATAATGCAGGAAACATTTTGTGGCAACAGTTTGAAAAGTGAACCGACATTTATGAGTCCGACGCAAAATGCCAAAACGAAACTAATAGTCCTTCGGGATTCAATCCCTTTGGACTAATAATATATATATATATATATATATATATATATAATAAATTAAAATAATATATATAACATAAAATGTATTTTACAAAATAATTACAATTTGTTATAAATTAAGTATTACAAATTAAATGATATAAATTATGAAATAATAAATTATATAAATAATATATAATTATATATTATCGATGTAGTATAATTTACTATTTATTATTTTATATTTATATAATATTTTTCTTTCAAACCATACGCACACAGAGTAAAATAAAAAAGTCATCATCTCAATTTTGCTTTACAAAATTTAAACTACTAGATCACTATTAAACTATTAAACAAATGGAAAAGCTGTTTATTGCTATTAAAATGCTCCGAAAGGAAAAACGTTGAAGGTTATATTCTGAAGCAGTTTATACTAAGAGAAGATTTTAGTACTCTTCTAAACCGAGGCCTACCCTAAGTAATTACCCCATAATATTTGCAATTGAGTGAGACAAAATACTGGGTGTAAATATTATCAGTTCAAGCATGTATAATCTAAGTTTTAGACTATTTTATAATGCAGAAATTCACTCCAAGCGTTAATAATTTCTTAAAACTTTTATTTACTTACAAATTGTTTAAAAAATTATTTATCTTCTAATTTCCTTCACTTGTTGATCTATTTTAGCACATAAATTTATCTGCATAAAAAGAAAATATATGAAGATTAATAAGCAAATTCGAAACTTTGATCTCTGTAATATCCTATTTTATAAATATTTGATTCAATTAGTATTAAGCATAAGAAATTTTTTGCTATAATATAGAAATTAATCTAATTCTATTTGGAATGAGAAATCGAGAGATTTAGCTGCAATAATAAAATTTGTATATATGAAAGAATAAAAATTTTAAACATCTTTGTTGTCAGTCTAATGCATCCTTTCTTTCGGTGTGAGGAAAATTAACTAGTTTGTTTTAGAATTTGAGGTCACTATTTATTTATTTATTAAGAATTTTTGCGCTCAGGTTCGGGGTTTGTTGTAATATCGTGTATTTTATTATTGAGAGGTAAACAAATATGCTTTGTGTATGTATCTAGTGTGTTCAGAATAAATGATAAAGTAGTAGCTGGTATTTAAAAAACTGTGCCTTTAAATGCAGCAAATGTTATTCATAATTCAGCAAAATATTAAAAACGAATCATAAAAAAGGAATCTTGAAACCGATGAATTCATTAACATTAACTATGCAAGGAAGAAGCTTGGGGTGTTTCGGATGGGAAGATAAATTGCTCAAAAATAACAAAATGTTAGTTCGTGAAAACAGGAACTCTAAACCTCATAAAATTTATTATAATCGTATACACTTCTTTCTTAATATTCTTCTTTTTATCGTACTGATTATTCATCTGACATTTTTATTATTCTTCAGATTTTCAGCAAGATCTGTTCGGAAAGGCTTTCATTTAGTCCTGATTAAGTAAAGAACGCGGAGTGTGAATGAGAGTAGTCATACTGCAAGGTTCAGTGAAAGGTTTATTGAAATCACTTTGACAACCTTCGTTGAGTTCTTTTTCAATTAAAAAAATGCACTTAAGTTTTGAGTTCTAAGCTAAGTAAACGTAGAGAATTTACGAAAACATGACTATAAAATTTTGTAGAGTTCCCACCTTTTGTCTGACAGCTAAATATGTAGGAGCCTCGTGAAAAAGTAAGCGAATAATCGCTTTAGTTCAGAAACAGAAACGTAAAACTCAAGAAGGGTTAATTGCCCTTTATTTCTCAAAATAAGAGCTTAACAGATGGCTCCTTCAGAGCGTAAAGTAAAGCTTTGAACTTAAAGGGCTTGAAGTTAAAGTAATAAGAAGTAAAACTTAACTAAAAAGATGTAGCAGAGGCTTTCAAGATTTCTAAGTAGTTCGCTCCTAAATATCAAAAAAGCTGGCGAAGCTGTCAAGGGCCTGAAATACGGCCGGGTGTAATAGATTAGAGAGAGTGTAGCCAAAAGGCAAAAGAGCGCTAGTCAGAAGCTTTGAGGCTCTCTAACGAAGTCAGTGGAACTTCGACTTAAATACCACTCTTACTCATTTGCATTAAACGCGATTCTAAAAATACATTCTGGTAGGAAATTGTAATCTGAAATTAGGAGAGACAAGGAAGTAGCTTTAACTAAAGATAACTGTTAAAAGCTTAGGATAAATGTTACAAGTTTATAATGAATCTTTATTAATGTGAAAATAATTCCAGTTTGAGAATGCTGAGAAGTTGATATTTATGTGTTATTCACAAAGTGAGTGCATAAAGAGAACAGCAGTGTGTATACTTTATGTTATAAATGTATGTAAGTATGTACTTTATGTATGTAAACTTTATCAAACATTATTTAGCAAAATTATCCTCTAATTTGAACTTTGTTATCTGAGTGGGTATTTCTTCCCGTGATAGCTGACATACGTGCGAATAGCATCCACATAAATACTAACAGTAATTATCAGTTATTATTAATAAAATTTCATAACTACATAACGATAATGCTTAAATTATTTTACTCAGGTAATAGTTTCTTTCGAAAGAATGTAATTTCTCTTGCATGCTTCTCCCATCCCTTATCTTCTAATTATTCATTCACTGCCATTTTTTCTATTCATAAGTTTGCTGGATAAAGATATGATTTACTACTACTTACTTGATAATTATTCTAATTATCCTTATTTATGGTATTAACAATAATTAGGATATTAAAATTCAGTTTTGCATGGTTATGAATTATTTTCAAATTTCATAAATAATAACTCGTTCCTGATTTTAGGTATAATATAAGCTTTTCAATAAAGACAGGCTCCTGCCTCAAATTTTTTAATTAATCTAGCGAATATGAAGTTTTGTAATAAAAGCAATGACAAATACTCTTTTTGTTTTCCAGTTATAACTACCTGAAAACGTTACCAGCGGACATGTTCTTAGGTATGCCTGCTTTGAGATCCCTATACCTGACTGGGAATCCTCTGTACACGATTGACGAAGCTGTATTTAAACCTGTTTGGAACCAACTACATCTTTTCCTGTTTTATGGTAAGAACGTACACAAATGTTTTCAGATGTAACAACAGAAAAATCAAAGTAGCATTGAAGTTTTTCATGTATTTCAATAATTATAAGTATAGATAATTTAGATAATTACACAATCGTATAGCAGATATAATTTTGATAATTACGTACTCTAATTTACATATTACACATAAGTAGAGGAAATGAGAGTTCTGGCTAGGGATCTTAGGGATCTGGAGTTGAGGGAGATCCCGAGAAGGAAGGCTGAGCCGTGGGAGGGAGGCTTATCTGAAAATGGAGACAGGGAGCCTTATCAGGAGGTGGATGGAGTAGGGTAGTTGCTACGTCACAGAAAAAGGACGTGTGCTGAGGTTTTATTAATTAGGTGATTTAGGCATTGAGTAGTTATATGATCATGTGAACTTACTTATATTGAGTTCTTAAAAACGTATATGAAGTAGGTGTTTTAAGTGACTGATCCAGTTCATCTCGTTAAACAGATATGTAATAAAATGTTTCCTTCACAGTCTTTGGAAAATATTTATTTTGTTACTTGCCTAAAGTGGAATGTCTATAATACTGCTATATATAATGGGTTTCATTCACACATTTTAAACCAAATCATAAGTTTATTCAAATACAAATCATAGTGAATACTGTTTCTTAATTTGGTGATTTAGACATTTAGCAGTTATATGATCACTTTCTTACTTATATTGAGTTCTTAAAAACATATATCAAGTAGGTGTTTTAAGTGACTGATATAGCTCATTTCCTTAAACAGATATAAAATGAAATGTTTCCTTCACAGTATAACCTCTTCCAAAGATAAATTATTTTCTTACTTGTATTTATCCTATGACTGAATATCTGCAAAACTGCTACATGTCATCACAATTTAATAAGAGATTATATTTTACTGATTTATCGGAAGTGATTTCCCTTCGTTAATAAATTTTTAGCCTTTGTGTTTTTTCTTCGTATTCCAACTGTTTTACTACGTATATGATTATCTCCTAGTTACCTTGAATGAGGATTATTTTCGAATTTAATGATTGAGTGATCCTATACACTCAGAAGTTTACCTTATTTCTTAAATCTTCTGTTCATAATATCACATATACTTTCCGTAATTTTCATTACATTACTCATTTTTATTCTTAAATTCATTTTACACAGAGTTTTTTCAGACTTGTTAGGCAATACTTTTAGCTTATTTTCTACTTTTTAATGTTTTTAGTTTCCAACATGCTCTGAGTTTTAACTAATTTGCTACATTTTCACACTACGTACATGACGTTTACTTCATTTCTCTTATACATTTTAACCTTCATAATTTCCAATATATTCCTAATTTTAACATAATTGCTATATTTTCACATGATATACCTGACTTTTATTTAATTTTAGGTGTAAATTTTAAACTTCTTTTCTGCATATTTTAACGTTTATAGTTTCCAATATACTCTGAATTTTAACTAATTTGCTATATTTTCACACTATGTACATGACTTTCATTTAATTTATAGCTACTTTCATACGTTTTAACCTTCGTAATTTCAAAAATATTTTAAATTTTAGTTTAATTCCTATACTTTCTGACCATATATATGAATTTTATTTAATTTTAGATGTAATTTTTAACTTGTTTCGTACATTTTAAACCTTCGTAATTTTTAAAGTACTCTAATTTTTTGCTTATTACATTTTCCTACCATATACCTAACTTATTGATTTCTAGATGTAAATTTTAACTCCTTTTCTATTTTTTTATTGTTTTTAGTTTCCAATATACTAAGAATTTTAACTAATTTATTATATTTTCACATGACATTCATTTAATTTGTAACGACTTTCATACGTTTTAACCTTCCTAATTTCAAACAGGCTCTTAATTTTAGTTAATTCTTCTATTTTCTTACCATGTATATGAGCTTTATTTAATTTTAGATATTATTTTTAACATGTTTCGTACGTTTTTAGAGTACTCTAATTTTGAACATGTTTATTACATTTAACTGCCATACGCATGAACTTTAGTTAATTTTAGATGTAATTTTTATACTTTTCTGGCACTGGTTTTCTTTCTAGTTTCCAACATACTCTAAAGTTTAACTGTTTTATAATTTTTGATTGTAATTGCGCTTCTGATTTTACTATTTCAGCTAAATTAACACGCTTAAATTTCTTAAAAATAGAGATAGATTTCAATTAAGCATTTTATTTTACAACCTTTAACTGTTATTCATATCCAATTCGTCGAATAGCCCTTACTTAGTCCATATTTTATAGTACTATTTTAATTTCCCAATTCTACAACTTATCATTCTGTAGTACTCTTACCATGTTATCCTACTATTTCCTTCATTATTAACTTCAATCGCATTTTCAAACTTTAACATTTCCTGCATATTCTGGCATTTTCTTTTAATTATTAATACTCTTTATATCTGAATATATGTTTTTAAGCTCTTCAGTGTTACCAATGTTCAGTTCTGAATCTTGATTCTCATTAAGCTAGTTTGATAGATTCCGAATTTTTAGAATGAAATCTCTACTTTCATCCATAATTTTAGACCCATATTCATTCTTTCATGTACTCATACAAAATTCTTTCTTATTATTTTGAACGCTCAGTACCTTTTAATTCAGTAATTTGTACTAATTGAATGCATTCTACATCACTTTAAATGTTTCGACTATGCAAATTTTCACTTTATTACCTTTTTCTACACTAAGTATGGGTATTTCTGCCTTCATGAATGATTTTCCTGTGAAATGGACGATTATTTAGGTTACATATCCAAAAGAAAGTCCTAATACATTTCCAGTTTTGAATAAGAGATGAAAGACAATCGATTTTACCCATTGGTTACAATTTCATCTCTTGAAAGCTTGTTTTATTGGTATACATTTATTTCTAACGCATAGTGTTAACACATTTTTTTGTAACTTAGTCCAGTTCCGACTTAATTTCCCTAGACAATATCATATATAGTCTGCATTTTTAATTTCTTAGACTAAAATGTTCTTTTCGCAAATGTCAGTTTGCATTAATTTATTTACCAATTTATTTTCTTATGGTTGAAATCTTGTAAATCACTACCATATCTATACACAACATATATCATTACCAATATCTATATTTACAGAAGGAACCAAAGAGAGAAAGAGTAAGAGACATTTGACCCAAATCTCCACTATAATTTCGAATATTTTAACCTTCTTCATCACAAATATAGAACTTTCTTCGTACAATACTTATCATAGCAATTAAACATGCCTTACTAATACACATTTGATGAGGTATAACCCCTTTTCAATTCAAAATTACACCAAATAAGTGTTATGTTTTCTTATAATTGTACATATATGTTTGCATTATAGAACTTTTATCCATTTTGAGAGAACTGTAATTTGCTAAATATTACCTCTTTCTGAGAGAAAAACTCCAAACACCATATAAATCATTTAACTTTTCCTGTAGTATTAACCACACTAGAGAATAACTATCTTAGAACTATTTTCTTAATATTAAGAACTAAATATGAAATAAGCATTTTTCACTGTAGAATATTTAAGGTTTTACCTAAATGAGGATATAACCTTTACCGAATTTAAGTTATTTATCCAGAATTCCCAACAAATGTTTAGAAAATGTGTTGATAGAAAGCAATATATTTACCTAAGTCATAACTAAGTCTATAACAGATTTTTATCGGCTCCAGATTTACTATCAGTGAGAAAAACCTGAAGTTCACTTTATCTACCCTTGTCAATATACACAAAAAATTCATGAATCATTCTGTAGTACAATTAGCATTTTACATACATTTAATACTAAATAATTTTAATAAACTTTCAATTAGGATTTTTAAAAGAAAAGCATATTTATGCGACATAGTATTAAATTACTCCCAAGCGTTGTTGAGGAAAATGCGATTAAATATCCACATACACATTAAGAAAATCCCACTCGTTAGGAACAGTAAAACCTTAATTAAACGAAATGTAAAATATTGTAATGCATTAATATGAAACCTGAGTAACAAATCATTTCCTATAAGCTGTATACGGCTAAAAATACTTTTCTTATAACTTATTAGCTTTTAAAAAGTAATAGTAAGGTAATGAATCAACGTTTATAGAAACTTTCCTTTTTTTTTCTAAATCTACCCTTTAGTAGTAACGAGAAAATTCAGTCATACTCCTATTTTATTTTTATGTAGGCATGCGCATTTCTTCTAACAGACAAAAATCCGAATATATCTCACTTTTCCAAAGATTTAGCTTTAGACTTACTTTCATCAGAAAAGGAAAATAATTTTACTTAAAAAACAGGATATCTTCTACTCAAAGAACTTGAAACAATTACGATCACATCTATATCTACCACGCAGTGATTTAGTTTCAAACCAAATTTTGATATTGTTTAATCATGCAAGCAACAATTTTCATCTTCGAGTTAAATTTTATACGACTGCAACAGATTTTTCAATGGCTTTCATGCTCACATTGTGTAAAAGACTTCTAGTTTTGACTATTTTAATTATGACTATTAGTTTATTTAAAGTCATGTACATAGTGTGAAAATATAGCAAATTAGTTAAAATTCAGAGATATTGGAACTAAAAACTAAAATATGGAAAAGAAGTTAAAATTTACACCTAAAATTAAATAAAAAATCAGGTATATCATGTGAAAATATAGCAATTATGTTAAAATTAGGAATATATTGGAATTATGAAGGTTAAATGTATAAGAGAAATGAAGTACGTCATGTACGTAGTGTGAAAATGTAGCAAATTAGTTAAAACTCAGAGCATGTTGGAAACTAAAACTTAAAAGTAGAAAATAAGCTAAAAGATTGCCTACAAGTCTGAAAAACTCTGTGTAAAATGAATTTAAGAATAAAAATGAGTAATGTATGAAAATTACGGAAAGTATATGTGATATTATGAACAGAAGATTTTTAGAAAATAAGGTAAACTTCTGAGTGTAAGGATCACTCAATCATTAAATTC